ATAACTAGAAGTTACAAAAATGTGTACTGCTTTATAAATTGCCTGATTGCTAGTCATTCATTTACAAAATTATTTTGCAGGAGTGGATTACGACTCATTATGTTGATAACTGTACCAGTACAGAGGAAGAGTTTCTGCATTGCATAGCTTACAAATTGAAATATTCAAAATTATTTTTGCATAAATACTAGTCTCTTAAAAAAGCAGCCCTGTTCTTAGAAGTGCTCAACATACAAAGATACTGCCGAGTAAAGTGATACCATTCATATTTCATCTAGGACACATGAGTTACCAGAATCAGAAGCAAATAATGGATGGTAAACACTTACATTCTTTCATGATTGGTCTTGAGATTTGGCATCATCCTGTGAATTTTGTTCACTTGAGGAATGATCTCTGGTGTGAGCTTGTTTCCTAATAGCATCTGCTGTCTTAAGTTAGTTAGATATGGTCTTCTAGATGTTATTGAATTTTGGTGGATTTCTTTTCCCCGCAGATAAAACTTTCCTGCTCTGCATGGTTATGGCTTTTTGCTGCTTTTTGAGGTTCTTTTTCCTTCTCTGAAAAAATAAGTATGAAGGGTAGGACATACTTGGACATAGTCTGCAATTGTATTCTTGGAAAGTAAGACAAGGGTATGTAGGTATGTACGCATACCTACAAATGTGGAGAAAAAAAAATGTTGATGGTTGTATGATTGCTGACTCGAGGAACCAGCCAAAAAATAAAAAGGTTGAGCTGGGTATTAGCAAACAGGAACATTGAGACAGAACTGAAACCCTGTGAAAATCCCCAGAACTGACAATAGCTGTTTAGCAAAATTACTATATTACTTTTTGTAATGTATGGAAGTCTTACCTTGTTTTTATTTGTCTCTGTATAGTGTTGAATAAAGTAATGTGTCTTCTAAAACTGAATCATCTTTATATATCATTTGTTTGATCCATGCCAGTTTACCAGCTGGTAGATTTTTCTGCAGTTGTGATGAAGGGAAAAATATGACATCATCTGAGTGGAGTATTAAGTCTTACCAAAAAGAAATAGGCACCTTTTCCGCCTCATAAAGCTGATGGCATTGCTCACAACAGAAGGATTTGTGTCAAAGAAATGCACTCTTACTGGCTGTAATTCTGGTACGTCATTACTAGTTTGTGCTGGCACAGCAGCTGCTGTGAATGCTCAGCTCTTGGGATGCAGTTCCAGAAGGTTAGTGGCTGATGTTACTCACGTCCTCTGTATAGGAAAGGACTAATTGTCACCTTAGTACAAAAGAAAGATTGAGGGTTGTTTTGGGATTTTTTGTTTTTGTTTTTGCACGTGTTTGTTACAGTAGAAATCGAAACCAGTTATGTGAAAGCTGAAGCAAGTCTGTTAGCAATTCTGTACAAGCAATTCTGTACAAAACCGGTTTGGTGTTTGTTTTTTTGGGAGAAGGCTATAAATTCTGGTCATGGGGCGGAGGGGTATTATTGTGTACTGGAAGTGTTTTGTAATAACTTGCTCTATGTTCAGAAATAGTGACATTATGGCTAATGTGTGGCATATAAATAGCAAAACTTAGACTTTTGAAGTAACATTTTTTCTTCTGTAATAGTTGCTAATTTCAGACATACCCAATATTACTGAGTTCTGATAAAATAGATTTCTTGAGCAACATGCCTCTGGAGTGAGGAAGTTAACAATGTTCAGAACTTTTTCAAAAGATAAATTTGTCAGAAGGAAAGACTTGAGTAACCTTGAGCTTATGGCTTAGACGTAAAAATTAGATGGGGCTTCATAAAGTCATGCTGCACTTTTTCTTTTTTTGTATAAATGAAATTGTGTGTTGTTTATTTTGTGTGGTCTCACACCCTTGTCCTATTGGACAAGTAACATGTTGTTCTCGTGGAAATAATGAAGCAGCCTCAAAGGATTTTTTTAAGTGAGACTACAGTATTCTATCATTTGTTGTGCAGGTGTGTTTTATGATTGCCCCAGAAGTGATAGCGTGTGTATGTGAGGAAGTACAGTCTGACCTGCTTCTTCAGATGTGCCAGGCAGAGGACCTAACTGTGAGAGGCCATGCTTCTAGAACCAGATCTGGAAATATTTCCTTAAACTTGCAAGATTCAGTTTTTCTCTTTTTAATTGAAAGAGTGCAGTAGTTCTTTCCCTAGTTTTGGGGGAAGGAGGGGATGCAAGGGACAATAAGGAGAAGTAAGAACTTGGCAGGTATGTTTGATTTTTGAGTTGGGAGAAGGGTGATATCCTGAGAGCAAAACAGATGTTAGGGCCTATTAGCAGCCATGAACTAGAAACAGTTTGAGAAAAACTGCATTTGCTCCAGACTTACTAACTGTGCTTTCTGCAGTTATCTTCCCTCTTCTTCACCAAACCTTCAAGTATTTGCTGTAGACAGGATTACTCTGTCATGTGATCAGAAGACATTGGCTTCATTCATTCATCTTACGGTCAAATTGTTCACTGGGTTCCTGAGCATTATTATATAGAAAATTGTATAAAACTTGCTTTTCAGCCCATCTGATGACCTTTTCTGTAGGTAAAAGAAAGCACTGTGAGCATCAGCAGCGTAGCATGTTGAAGAATCACTTCGGTAAAGCAAATAACATTGAACAAATCAGTCTGGTTTTGTAGGGTTTGCGATGTTTTGAATATATGCCTTGTAACTTCAATTGACGGTGTTTGCTTTTCCTTGATGGCTTAAAGATTTAAGGGTTTCCATAATGCTACTTGAGTTAAGCAGACTTGCTATATTTAAACTGTACTGATAAGTCATGAAAACAAATTACTTGTCTTTCCTTGTTTTCACTAGAAATGTTTATTTTGTTTTTTTTAAAGTCTCTGTAGAGATAGGGAAAATAGCCTTGCAGGTGGGCCATAGATCATGTAGAGCTTAACAAAAGTTAGTGAATGTCTATTTGCTGAAAGAGGTTGAAAGCTATTTTGAGGTGTAGAGTGAGAATCTTGACTCTGTACCCATGAAGACAACATCTGTCTTTGTACTTTGCTCAGGAACTTCCTTCTTAAAAGGTGCCTCTGGTTAGGATGTGTTTTTTGTTTGTTCTAATGCTTAGTTCATGTACAGAAGGAGTGTCTGTTCTCATGACCTTACCTTTCTCCCCTGCTGCTAAGAACAAAATAAATTCCACCGCTGTCCTCTTTCATTTACCACTTTTTGTCATTTTGCCACATAAATTTTGTGTATGCTCTTACAAACATGACCAGAACAGTAATGCTCTTCATTTTCAACACTGCCCAAAGAGTGGAAAATCAAAAATTTATAATGGCTACTCTCAATGTTTGAACTCTCCAACTTGAAACACCAGTTACCAGCAAGTGAGATAACCAAAATTAAGTACTTGGATTTGTTTTCAGTAGTTTCATGTTAAGAATTTTATCTTTGTAGGTTAGTTTTGAGAGTAGTTTGGGATTTTGCAGAATTTAATCACTTAAAAACAGCTTATCCCTTGTTAATCATTTGGGGTGGGGGGCTTAAAAGTCTACCACAAGAATTTAAGAGGGTAAGCCAGATATAACTGAGAATTGTTGTAATGTAGCTTTCTGCTAATTGCCAGTAGTTTCATGTTAAGAATTTTATCTTTGTAGGTTAGTTTTGAGAGTAGTTTGGGATTTTGCAGAATTTAATCACTTAAAAACAGCTTATCCCTTGTTAATCATTTGGGGTGGGGGGCTTAAAAGTCTACCACAAGAATTTAAGAGGGTAAGCCAGATATAACTGAGAATTGTTGTAATGTAGCTTTCTGCTAATTGCTCATTGAAGTCTCTGTTTACAAATTCTGTTACCTGTTGCATTTCATGGTTTTTCTTTTATTTTAATCACTTTTATCTACTTCCTTCTGTGCTAAAAGGTAAAATGGCTGCAGCTTGGTTCATGTTGTGTTTCAAAGATCAAATTACATTATCAAATGTTGATTTAAATATTCTGGCTTTAGTAAGCATTGAGCACTTTCGGCCAGTGGTTCACAGGTATATTATTTGTTATTTGCAATGAGGAACTTGTTTGACAGAATTGTTTTCATTATATTGGGAACTTCTCAAGTAGTATACTGGGTGTTGAGATAAATGTTGAACTGTTCAATATTCTGGACTTGGATACTGAATCTGCTGCGTAGGTGAATCTGAAGAAAATATCCACTGAAGTTGCAGAAAGTAATTTTGTACTGGAGTACTATAACTTTCTGAAATAGTCATTTCTTATACCATCTGTGTTCACTCACCAACTGTAGATCTTCACAGATTGTGTTCCTTTTTAACATGTCAATCACTATTACTTTGAGGTTTGGGTAAGTTACCTGCTGTAGCTATATGAATAGTCTTTGAAGGAGGACAAGCAAAGAGGAGAACAAACATCCATCTTACATGAAATTAATTTTGGGACAGTTTAATGTTGGCAAATGTTGACCGTATTAGAACTTGCTTCTCTAGCTAGGCTACAGGCTTGTACCAATGCAAAATAATAAACTAAGACTGAAGTCTGAATTATGTTTGACCACTTGGATGACACAAGCTTGCACACTGCAGTATTTGTTGAGCAGATGGCTCATAACGTTATCCATAGAAGATGGGAGCATGAATGACTGCTCTCAAAATGCTCTTCAGTGTTGTTCTATAGAACTTTCTGATATGTAGTTGGGATGATTTTACTTCTACAGCTTATACACTTGTGTACAGGTGTGATACAATATGTACGCAGTTAGCAGTTTACTTCATCTGTGTTATCATCCAAGAGGAACATGCAGGTAATCTATAAGTCCTGCACTAGAGATTACTGTGTGCAAAACACTTTGTATGCTAAGGACTCAAGACTGAGTGGAATTTCAAAAAATTTGAGTGTCTCATATCCTGGTTTACTTCAGTCATTAGACTGTTAATAGGAAAGCATCAGTTAATTTTTGTTTTCTTGGTTGCTTGTGAGTAAAGATTTTGAAAAATTAGTTGAGTATACGGTAAGTGAACTCTTTTCTATTGTGTCTTTACAGGAGTACCAAAGTCAGATCTTCTACATACAAGATCTCTAAGGGGGCATAGAGACTGCTTTGAAAAATTCCACTTAATAGCAAATCAGGACTGTCCGCGATCAAAGCTCTCTAAAAGTCCATATGCAGAAGTAAAAAATATCTTGAGCAAAAAAATTAACTGGATCATCCAGTACGCACAAAACAAGGATTTAGACTCTGATCCTGAAAGCTCAAAAACATCCCAACACCAGCTTTTTAACTTCAGACAGACTGATAGAAAATTGCTCCCACAGTTTGACTCCCCAGTACCTAAATACTCTGCAAAATGGATAGATGGGAATTCTGGAGGCATCTCGAGCTGCTCACAAACTCTTTTGGAACAAAGAGAATCCACTGATTTCAGACTTGGTGTGTTACAAGAAACAGGTGCTACCTTCTGTTGCAGCAGTGTTTTCTGGTCTAATCACAACCAAGCCCAGAAAGCTGAAAAAGCTGAAGGTGGTTCACTCACCAGTGATCATAGAAGGCATCCTCAGTACAGCAGGGAAGAACGTAAGTATATGTCTATTTACACGCAACCTAGCAAGCAAGGGCATTCTTGGAAATATCTCTTGACCACTTCATGTCCCCACAGGGCATTAATTGACGGCCTGAAATGCAGCTTTTAACAGTTGGGAGTTACTGTAAAATCTGTGAAGGAAAAGCCTACACGGCTAAGCAAATAGTGTGGAGGGTATGGTTGGTGTGGGGGTTTTGTTTGGTTGTGTTTTTCATTTTCCTGTTAGTTATACCACAGTGTGATACAGGACATGCCTAATTTACGCCAAAAAAAATTACTGTTACGGTTGATTGCCGTCACTTTAACGTGTTGGTCCTGGCAGTTGCACAGTCCTGCCTGTGGAGATTACTAAGCTCCTGAAAACAACTCTCTTATTGAACTTGCGCGGTGCCTTGAGTTACATTTTACAGAGAGCTGCCCTAAGCAATAGGGGAAATTAGAGGTAAGGTAGCAGAGCAAACTTGTGAAACAACATGAAAAATTAAACGTTCTCAATAGTAGCAGACTTTCCTTGTGCATTTTACTAGATGATTTTTCTTTGTTTATTGAGCATAAGAAAATGGGAAGGCCCTTATTCCACCATGTCCTCTTAAAGGCTGTAGCGGCAGACCTGAGCAATTCTTCTGATGACTGTGGTGACACTGAAAGCAGCAGGAAATAAGTTTTCCTCTTATTTAAGAAGGTCACTAAAAGAAGTATTTAGAAAAATCTAGGATATTGTAGTGTCTCTGGAATTGGCCTACATGAAATGTGTTAGGAGTAAGTTCCTAGAGGTCTCTGCAGTTACCATCCTGCGTTTAGAACAGTGCCTGGCCCTAAACTGGAGTACATCCACTCTTACTTCTGTAGATGAGAAAAGTAATTGGAGAGGGTTTCTGAATTTCAAAAGACCTGAGAAAGGAGACAAAAAAGCTGGTAAAATATTCAGTGGAAAATTAGGTAATGAAAAAGAAGGTAATAATGGAATTCAGAATGCCAGGAGAGTGAGAAAGAGGTACTGTAAGAAGTTGGAATCGGTTTCTTTAGGCTCCCTTTTCTTAACAAAGTAACAAACCTGTCCTTGCAAAGTTCAGTCATTTCACATTCTTTACAAAAGGATTTTATTTAACTGCTGTATGATGCTTCATATTGCATTTGTAGTGAATTAGTAGTCTTAAAGCCATAAATCGAAACAGATATACTGTGTTGTTTGACCATCTGTCCTCTGGAGTCATAAATTGGGATTAAATAAATCAGGACAGCAGTTAACAGAGGAATTATGAAAGCTTGACCTGGTTTATGGGGTTATCTAACTGAAGTTAGTGACTTGGAATTTCTCTCTCTGATCTCTGATTTTTGGGACAGGGGAGCATAAAGCTCTTTTGAGCACGATAACAGACTTTTTTTTCCTTCTGTTATTACTGCATAATGTACTTTTGAGGCATTTTTGCTTTGTATTATAAGGGGGGGTTTTAATCCTTTTACAGTATTTAGCTTTAAAAGACATTGATTTGGTGACTCCATGATTATATAAATTTTGAATTTTGGAGAAAAACCTAGTCAGACTTTCTCTGCCAGAATTAGGTATCACATTATTGCAGTACCTACACTGTAACAACATAGCATTCTACTAAAAAAAAATACCGTTAATGTGACTAAATAGCTTGGTCAATATTTCTTAGTAATTTACCTCAGCCATAGATAGAATGATCTTTTATTTAAATTTGGTGTTCTGTTCCTTCTCCCTTTCCCTTCTGTATCAGAATTATGTGATACGAAACAGGCCTGTCCTGACACACACACGAAATGTGTGAACCTGCCTATCTGCTACAGTTGGTGAAATGTTGATGAAAATAATGAAAAAATGGGAAGTAACATCCTACCACTGAGTATAGAAAGCAGGGGGGGAATTCTTGAACTCCTTTTTAAAGCTGTCAATTACTATCTTAAATCCAATCAGGGTTTTCATGGAGCTTAAAAAGTGTTAAAGTATGGTAAGATAGGAGAAAGGAATCTTCTGTTCTATCGATAGCTGAAGGTAGGAGGGAGCACCACTGTACCTGGCTGTTGGAGGAGAAAGGTGGATCCCTTTCTCTCTTAAATGGCCTTATGTCTTGAGTAACAAGTAGGCTATCTTAGCTATTGCCAACTTCTTTGGTTTGGCAATAGCAAGAGAAAGATAATATTCTACAACTGCAAGATGTGAGAAGGGTTGAAAGAGAAGGCTTAGAATAATTAAATAGTCCTGTGGGCAAGTAAAAACCACCCTTTTCAGAATTTATGCTTTAAATTTACAGTATAGAAAATTCTTGCACTGAGAAATCTCTGGACAAAAGCTGCGTGATTGCAGCGCAGGTTTTTAAGTATGCAGTGAGGGCTTTGCTAAGCTGCAGCATTGTTTAAAAACAAAATTTAAAAATTAGAAGGTCTTAAAGCTTGTTTCAGTGCCCTGTTATCCTCTTGTGGTGATCAGGATTGTCACTCTTCACCATGCTGCCCAGGGCATCTCAGCAGCAGGCATGGCACCAACCTGTGCCCACCACTGCTGGGCTGAAGGACTTCTAGGAAGCAGGCCGGTGCTTCCCTGCTTGCTGTTGTTGATCAAGGGCAGCGCAGAATACTTTTACAATTCCCTTCTCTGAGGTTTAATATATATTTTTTATGAGGATGATCAATGTACACAACCTGAGATACAGAAGGGGTTTTGAATGATACAGAGGGTCTTTTAGTTATCACTAGGAACACAGCACAAGAAAGTGAGAAGTAAACCTATTTTTATATGTTGGTATTTGTATCGAACTAGGATGTTTCTTCTTGGTTTGTCACCGAGTTACTCAGTGAAACTGTATCCATTATTATATGCATAAAGCACAAAACTTGATAGCCAAAACAGGTAGCCGTGTGCTGAAAATTCTGTCCAGAAGCCGTTTCCTGTAGGCTTGCAAACATAGCAGGACTTGCCTCAGAATTGTCTACTTGCCCACAGTTAAACAGACGTACTTGCAGGGTTTACACTGTGGAAACCATGTTTTGCAGTCAGAAGAAGGTAAAGTATTTAAAGGTGTCAAGCAATTTACAAGCAATTCCGATTGTGGACACTTCTGTTTTGAGGGCTTGAGTTTCCAGCTTTTTGACATGGAAGAAGGCGCTTTCCCATGGAGTAAATCCTTGTCTATGTCAACATAAAAGAGAGAATTTTCAAACTTTCCACAAATGCCTGATAAATAATGTTGCCTCTCACTTAACTGCCACACATTTGTTGATTATTAGCATGCAAATGATGACAATTTGAGAAAATGGAAGTCTGCTTAGGGATGCTTATGTGACTTCGGTAGTAGTAATAACAGATTTTATTGTTACAGTGACTATGATGACTCCTGGAGAGTTAAAGCAACTTAATGAAAAACTGCTCAAGCAAATCCAGGGTGAGAATTTTTCAATACTCTCTGTTTCGGGTTTGTGTTGCCTTGTAATAAAGATCTTGTTTAAAAAAGAAATTGCAATGGCTTTATCAGGTAAGTTTTGAATGGAAATCTTGTATATCATGTTTCCATGTAAAACAAGAAACTTCTAGGTGCTTTTATTATGTAACCTCCTTGGGCATTGCAAACTGGCACTTCAATACAGTATTTTCTTTAAGTGTTTTGACTGGAATCAACTTCATTTTGAGTTATAAACTGATCCACCTTCGCTCAGGTCACCTAAAACTATAAACTGGTGGTCCTGTTCAGTTTACAATGCGTACACCAAGCTGTGCTGGAACCAGAAAAAGTGGTTCATGAGCCCACTTAAATGTCCGTGCCTCTGTCACAGGAATGTTCAGCACTGCTTCTGAACGTTCTGACAGTACAGGGACCAAGTGCATTAACCTAATAATGTTCTTGCAGATGTGTTTGAAGAGCTGACGCAGCAAGTCCAAGAAAAGGATTCTTTGGCCTCAGAGCTCAACGTCCGCAATATTGCTATTGAGCAGCTGCTGAAGAACTACTCCAAACTGCCGTGTCTACAGATGGGACGAGCAGGGATGAAATCAAATGTCCCCATATAAAGGGGATACAACTTCTATCCCCTTATAGAGCTAACTTTCCCTAAGAGCTTTGATAACCATTAAGTACAGCTGCACAGATATTTAGAAGCTTTTGGGGAAACTTGGGCAGCTTTCTCTTTGCATTCGTAATCCATGAGAAGTCTTATTCCACTTTGGTTTTAACTAAAAAGGCAAATATTTTAGATATTAAAATCTACTGTAAGAACGATAATTCACACTTGGGGATTTTTTTTTGCCCATAACTATGCATGAGCCTTGAAATGAATTCTGTGTTTTGCTGATAATAAAATTGTTTCTAACAAAGAATGATGTAAAGCCTGTAAACCTGCCTCCTTCATACAGAGGAAAAATAAAAATTTGAGTTTTGATCAGGTCTGATCATGTTACATCCAAGAGAGCTTTAAGGGGAGAACAGTATTAATGAAACTCATGTTTTCTTATTTATTATGAGCAATATTTTATTATTGAAATTTTATACTAAATAAAATATCACTATTTTAGGTACTTTTCCAGATCTCTTTATAAAATGTCTGAACTACTCAGTGTAATGTTTATGCCTTGTGTATAATTGTTTATCCTTTTTCAGGTCTGTATCTTCCATGATACAATTTAAAAAAAAAATCTTGTTTTTTAAAGAGATGAATTTCACATGTTAATGAAAAAAATGTGGTGGTGCATCACTTATTTTTATCAGTTTTATAACTGAAGAATTTGGTTCATGAGATGTTTAAAAAAAAAAAGGCACAGCACTTCCTTTAAATTTGAAAAAAAATCCATACTTTGGTTTTAATGTAGAAGTTGAACTGAAGAATTTGGTTCATGAGATGTTTAAAAAAAAAAAAAGGCACAGCACTTCCTTTAAATTTAAAAAAAAATCCATACTTTGGTTTTAATGCATAGAAGTTGAAGTTGTTTTATATGTGTGAAATTTTCAGTGCTGAAAAATTACTTCAAAGAAACTAAATAAATTTGTAATACTACATTATCTTGTTACGAGTTTTTTATAAAGTTGGATCGGACTATGATAAAGTGTTTTCACTTTGAAATGCAAGTAGTAATGACACATTATAAAACAGAACATCCTCTGCTTTTTTAAAACTTCTATCAGTCTACCATACTGAGAAATCTTAGTTAATCTTTGCCAAAAAGACTGTTTGTAGAGCTGCATTTGTGTAACTGAAAATTGCTGAGTTGCACTGAAGCAGTTGGGTGGGGGGAGAAACTTCCTCCCCCACACTGAAGTCTTTGTGCTTTCTGATTTTATCACTTCAAGTGAAATCAGGGAGTAATTTATATAGCTCAGCTGAAAGAATGACTAGCATGAAGAAAGGTTAAGATTTGATTTTAAAATCAAACTGAGAAGGAAGCCGAAGTTCAGACTAGGTTTATTGATGGCCCTCCCTATAGTGGTATCTGGACTACATAGGACAGGTTGATTAATTTTACTTTTTTTTTCCATAATGCCTTTCTGGAAGGGTCCTGAAAGGAGTTTGGAACAGCTCGAGAGTATGCGTGAGTGGGGACTTGAACTTCTCTGTCTCCGAGTGTTTTGTGGTTTAGGAGGGGAAGACATCAGTAGTGTCATTGCTTGTGTATGCAAGTGGGCCTATAAGTAAATGTGCACCAGCTAATCCCTAATTACAGGTGTCAGAAGATGGATTAATCTCCATGTGCAAGTCTATAAACCTTATTAATACAGTGCTAACATAACTGCAAGTGTAAGGTGAGAGGATAAATACTGTTGTTGCTCAATCTGTGAAAGTGACCACCATACAGTCTGAGTGAGAATTCCCCAGGTGTCTGGTCAGACCGATAAGGGTCTCAATTTCACTTCACCGCGTAGTGAGGAGAATTAAGTTGTACTTCCACTTTTGCTGCTTGCTTTTGTGGGAACTAAAAGCAGGGCATCTACAATTTAAGTCCTTCCTACTACATTTCTGTATTTTTATTTTTGTTACATCAGGTTTTTGATCCAAACAAGGTTGGGGGGGCTTATTTTGGTTTTAAGATGGATTATAATTAGGAAGGACAATTTCTGGGGCACATGAGCTGTGGAAGCACAGATTCTTTTTTATCATTTGCCCTCAGTAAAACAATAAACTCAAACTTTGGTTTAAAATAATGTGCTATGAGAAAATGCTCATACCATCACGTGCATGGCATTTCTTTCCTTGTTGCTTTCCTGACTTTCACTGGGAAACCTGTCTGGTGTAAATCTTGCATTAAATCTGAGTTGTTTCTGTATATGACATGCTGATCCTTCACATATGAGATGCGTCTATTTTGAGTGAGTAGTGAGCAAGCTTTATACAAGATGGGAGGGGGGAAGACTTGCATTTGCAAAAGTGATATTTGAGGCTATGAACACCTATCAAATAAAATTCAATTTAAGACTTAACAGTTTTCATTTGCGTTATAAGCTATTGCTTATTTAAAATGGTAACAAGAACTGGCCAGAAAGTGGCATACTTAAACAGCAGGACCTTAATGAAATGCTCTCTGAAAACATAGGCAGCGTTGCTACAGAGATTTTTTTTTTTTGGCGATTGCTAGTGGGTAAAGGGCAGAAACTGAACTCTGTTTTTTAACAGAGGAATATATTACCAACAAAAATATTCATCTAAAATTAATCTTAAAACCTTTTGTTACTTTATTTGTATTTCAGTGCCTGGAGACCCCCACAGTGAGAACACAGCTGGATCTAAGGCTTGATTAGACAGTAATTAAATTCATAAGGAGGCATCTTGCTTGATCAAAATGAGATCTGTATGAGTATAAAAGAGCGTACCACAAAGTTAGAGCCACTTAAGAGCTTAATCTGTTATTTTCATGCAGTTCCTTTCTTTTTTAGGAGCAACGTGGTAACTGCGTTATAAAAATGTTGTTCTCCCTTTTTCCTAACTTGAGATCTCACGTTGGGCAGGGGTGTTCTGTTGGCATCCCCGAAGGATAATGCATGCTCTGGTTTCCAGGCCGACAAGCCATTTCCAGAAAGTGGGTAGGGGGCTCGGGGCTGCTTTTTAATTAATCAAACCCTAGGAACAGAATTGACGCTTTCTGTTTGGTTTTGTTAGAAATATTTCTGCCACATAACACTTTCTAGATAATGCAACTGTTTATGTCAAAATTGGAAATGCTAATTACATGTAGCAAATATGTAATAGATTGCACAGGCAGTTAAGTTTGTCCTGCAATTACAAATTTAGACTGACTTATACGTGTTTGAATACTGAGACTTAATTTTGAGGGAAATGTAGTAAAGCAATCTGTTAATTTCTTTTTCAGATTAACAGATTGCTTACTTTATTAATTTTTCCCCAGGATTTTTGGTTCTAAGAATGAATAAAACGTTGTTGCTGGGTTTTACTGGGTATAAAACTACTGATGTATAACTGAAACAACATTAAGGAAACTGTGTCTCCAGTAATAGCATTGAAGCTATTGGAGTCGGTTGGATCGTATGTTAAGAAAACTTTCACGCAATAGCTGTGGTTCTAAAAAGTCTCAAAATCATTATGCTTCTGGCTAAAGAAAGTATTTAAATTCATAAAAAATGCCAGTATATCTATTGGTTTTCAAGAAGTCTTTTTTTTTATTGTGTGAAGCAGCTGTCTATGTACTTTTGCAATGTTTAAGTATGTTAGCATCTCTTGGCTTAAAGTTTTCAGGTGATGATTTCGTAAGGATGTTATGTTAAGACCGGTGTCGGAATAAGTGGGAGTGGGCAATGTGGTTAGCCATAGTTCTCTAGGTAGATTAAATTCTGCAGTAGGGTGGAAAAAAACAAAGATGCTACTAAATTGCTGTTGTTGTTTGGTTGCATAACAATAATACAAGTCAATCGTGGGTCCTGCTGTGAAATGAAAGGCAGAACTTTACTGGGGTTTTTGCCTCCATTTAATTTGTATCCCATACAGTTCCCATTGCCATAGTCCTGAAACCCGCAGGAAATGTCTTGCAATCACTTGTTTATCTGCTTAAATGTTTATTTAAAGGACTGTTTTCCTCAGTTACTGAGAACAAATTAATTTGCCAGTTGAAGGTGTAGTTATGTAGTTATTTCTTTTCTATAGGCCCTTCCTAAGGTAGCCACGTCAGACACTTCCCGGTCCTTGCCTGCACTAGCATCTTCTGCTCAGTGTAGTCTCCACTCCTGAGTCACCGTGAAAAGCCTGAGAAATGCCATTGTCCTTCTGTTAGCATAAACAACAACAAAAAAATTACAGTTAACTTCTCAGTACTTCTAATACCTGCAAATTTCCTCTCTGCCCCTCCGACGCTCATCTTGCACTCTCAGTAACCCGCCGGTACCTTCCCCGCCCACCCCCTCGCCGTTTGGCTGCCGGCCTTCCCTGGGTCCCGGGCACAGCTGCCTAACCCCCACTTGGGTTTTGGAAATAGTGCTGCCGTGTGAGACAGCGCCGTGAGAAAAAGGAGAGGTAAAATTACAGGCTGAAGTAGGATTGTTGACAGAGCAATTTACTGGTAGCTCAAGGATTCAAGAGTAAAGCATGAACGTGAAAAGGTAGAAAATCGGGAAGAGATAAAGGGTGTTGAGCCAGCAGCTGGCAGTCAGTCAGGTCATCGGTGTCGACAGCGTCGGTGCATTTGGTGCATGAGTGCAGTTCAGCAGTCCCCAGGGTCTGCAGCTCTGTTCTCATGCCCGGCTCCCCCATCCCCACCAGCCCTCCCCGACCGACGCCTGCCTGGTCAGCAGCGGCTCTTCAAGCATCTTACCGGGGCACCAGCACGCTAGTGCTTAGCCGAGTAGCTCAGTAAGCCCTGCTGATCTGTGTGTGTGTGTCTGTAAGAAACAATAAATACTTGCCCTGTACTTGTATGTATCTCGCTCGCAGAGCCTCTGTGTGTGGCTACGGGTGGCCAAATATAGCGACTGAAGTAGTAAAAGATGTCTGCATTTGTACGGCAAAGACAGTCTCTGGGTAGATGCAGGTATATTGTTATATGCTGGCTGAACCTGAGATAAGTGTGCAGCAAATGTCCTTGATGGTATCGATGCTACAGGTCAAGTATTTCGGGGAGGAAAAAACCTGACTGCTATGTACAGGTCGTAAATTTGCAGTGAAGGTGATCGCTTATAAAGTTAAGAAAGTTTTGTTTGTGCACAAATGGAGACAAAAACATTCTAACTGTGAAATTTAAAGTTACGTGTACACCAGATGTGCTGGAACACCTAAAAGAAAAGGAAAAAAATCTTGATATTTCGTTTGCAATAGCATACCTATGTGCCCCTATGCTAGCAGAAAGAATGAATACGCACATTGGGTTTGCATTTCTCATCTTTTGAAGTTATGTGGGTAAGCTTCAACTTTTTTTTATATTAAAAAGGGTGACCAAAAAAGGCAATAGTCCTTCATGTAGTCTGTCTAATGGAGGTGCCTGAGGGAAGATCAGGTCAGGCAACATGCTACTACCTTTTAATTAAGTGCACCTGATCGTGAGGTGAAAAAGGGCCTACCTACATACTAAAGAAAATGTTCACTATATGTCATTTTAGGGAAGATATTACTTAGCGGTGATGAAAAATGGGTGTTATTCTTGATAATCACCTAATACCTAACGAGGGAAGGCTTCTGCAGTTCTACGTGTGTCTGTCCTGTTCTCTCGCTCTACCCCAGTAACTCAGGAATCTGTTAATTTTACCTAAACTTCATAGAAATTTGTTAGAAAGCTAAAAATCTCAAAATCTTTATAAGATGGTGAGGCTCAAGGAGATTTTATGAAGCCCTCTACAGGTGTTCCACTTATGAGGAAAGAAAGAAATCTGCAGG